CATTCCCCCACTTGCCACGGACTCAAGAGCAGTAAGTTTTAAATGTAAGATGAAGGAATGGGAAGACTTAAACGCAATTTGATAAAAGTAGGCAACCAGAAGTTTTTGGAAAAAGAAGTAGAAGATCTAAAAAGAAAGGAGAAAGTACGAATACTGAATGATGAGATAAAAAACCATCATTGAAGATAGAAAAAGGGCTATATTAAAATACTAGCAAAACACAAATCCGTAAAATAGGATAACGTAGTAAGCATAAATGATGCATTAGTTTAAAAGAGAGTTCGAAAATTAAATAGAGAAAGTTGGATAGATACAAATGAAATCGAATATGATATACATGGAGCCCAAAAAATATAAGCGTACAAAATTCTAAAACACCTAAATAAAGACCGAAAAGGACACTGTACATAAATAATATACCCGAAAAGCAATGGCTGAGATACTATAAGGAATTGTGGACTTCAAACACACAAGAAGAAAAACTCGCCAGAACAAGAATTTGCAAACGTTAGACCCATTAGAAATACGAAACTCGAAGAGATACTTATAAATTTAACAAGAAGCAAATAATCTCCAGGTAGCGATGGACTGAATATAGAATTATTTCAAGTATGCACCTTCACAAAATCAAGCTAAGGTTTCTCTCTTATACTTAATATATGTTGGAATACATATCAAATCCAGAAGAATGGAAAGAAAAGCCATTATACACCCAATATTTAAGAAAGGGAATAGACAAGACTTGTAGCAATACAGGAGGAATGTAGGCCTAATTAAACTCTGCCTACAAAAAATCCTATGCAAAGATAATTACTTTCAGGAGATTAAATAAAATAAGTAATAACCTACTTTCGGAATTCCAAAATGGATTCCGAAAGGGACGTTCATTGCGCAGATAGCATACTTATTGTACAACAATTTGCATCGAGAAAGACCGCGAATATAACCTTCCTACCTATATCCTGTTCATAGATTTTGAAAAGGCCTTATGACAAAGTCTCTCGAAAATTTATGGAGTATTATGGCGTAAGAGTGGATACCCTAACCACATCAAGAAACCATCAAAAGCTTATATTTAAAACCAACTATCAGTATTTGACAAAGGACAGCGAACAACCTAACTTAATATACAAACCAAGGAGTCAAACAAGGGTGCCCGATGTCTTCCGATCCTTTTAATATATATATATTATCGTCATATTATTCAAAAGAATGCAAGTAAACTAACCACAACATTTTAAAATAGCAATTACAATTTTAAACAATACTCTATTGCCAGATGACCAGGCCATTTTTAGTACTCAGAAGACGACCTGACAGAGAGCTGCCCATTACCTCGAGTTAACAGGGAAAAATTATATAACTTGAAGATATTCAACTCTAAAACCCAAAAACAATGGCATTCCAGGGGAAAAACCATATCAGATGTAAAGTAGGTGATAAACGAAAAAAGTATTGAAACAATGTAAAACCGAACTTTTTTAATTATTTAGGATTTACACGATCTCATACTGCAACAAAAAAGATATAACATAAAGATCCAAAAATTCCAGAAATTGTGCCGGTACTTACGCAGAGCACTAAGACAAAAAGACCAGTACAAGACCACCCAACTAAAATTTTACAAACTATGGCAAGTCCCAATGCTAACTTATGGGATGCGAAAAACTGGACAATCATAGTCAGACAGAAGTAAGATCGAAGCGCAGGAAATGAGATTTCCTGAGACCATTAGCAAGGATATACACTACTAGATCATAAGAGAAATGAAAGACATCAGAGGTGACTTACAGATCTCAGCATGACAAAGGATCGGACTCAAACGAGGAAGAATTGGTTCGAACACCTAACCAGAAATTGCCAACAAGAACGGCTTCCCAAGACTATCCTTGGATACAAACCAAAGGGGAAACGATCCAGAGGCAGACCCCACACAAGATGGAAAGAGACTCTTGAGAGCGGAACGGGCCATTAGGCCCAAACCTTGTTGCTGATGATGATGATGAGATGGCTCATTGGCAGCAGTCTAACAAGGTGCAATCCCGGTTTCAATTCTCAATTGGACCAAAAATTAAGTTGTAGCTTTCCTTAAAATTGTTTCAGTTTCTGTAGTTGTATGGGGAAGGAAAGCTCAGTTACGTGGAGTTTCCTAGTTACACTGAAGGGAATATGACATGTTCACATGTCTCACCCCCAAGCATGGGAATTGAACTAGGCATGAGGGACACCATTAGCTAGCCAGCAAAGTCAGACAATTCATCCAAAATGCCAGATACAAACAAACAATTTTAATTCCCAAAAATATTTCAAAAAATTAAATGACTAAAAGAAGTAAACCTCAAAATATTATTTAAAATACTATGTAAAAAACAACTGACATATAGTTCTGCCTTACTGTCCTAAGCTGTGCTCTTCTCAAAATACCAGAACATGCGACATTTTCAGGGTTCCTCTCCTTCACTGCTATCTTTGTTAGGAAACTTAATTACCTAATGATCAATATCTGGTGGCCAAATTTTTAATGGAATGGTTAAAATTCTTAAAAAATCAGGAGCAAAAAGCTTAAGAGAACTTTCTTTTTTCAGCGGATTTATAGGCAACGACTAGTTATAACTGAGAATAAAAAAATAGTTTTTGAGGACTGAAAAGTCTCTCTCCTGCTGTGTCTCCAGTCCATTGTCCGGAACTCCTCTTTGTCTTTCAAGTTGAATTTAAATAGGAAGACGTCAATTCTTTCTGATACATCAACCTCTATATTTTGGGCCAGTTCAACCTTTTCTCCTTTAACACTGAATTCTTCCTGATCAGTTTAGCTGGTAAGAATTCAGAGAAAGAAATCCTGTTGCATCATCTATCATTTTAAAAGGTTTCTTTCCTCTCACAGTCCTTACAAATGGGTACCACTCTCTCGGTATATTTGTTTCATTTTTAGTTTTAAACTTTTGCATGATCTTTAAATACGTGACCAGGCAAAAGATATCAAATCAATTGCTTTCAGTATCATTGACACTTGCATCACGACTTTGCTTTAAGGCCAAGTTAACATTTTGACAACTGCGAGAGTCAGAATAAGTAATTACACGAGACACATTAGGTGGAATATTATTTATTTCTTTTATATAAAAAAAAAGAAGGAATTTTGTTAGAACCTCATCCGACTACAGTTTCATTCCGTATATAGCAACCTGTGCCTCCTTTAACAGAGCAATCTTGGATTGTCATATTTAATGTTGCCAGTTGTAGTAGTAGTAGTAGTAAGAAACAGATAGTAGTAATAATAAGCAGTAGTAATAAGATGCAGATATGGATATAACAATAGCCTCCTTTTTGGAGACTGAAGACAAATTGTTTTCCTGATTATGTTTGAGACTTCTTTCTTTACTTACATTTTCCTTTACGTTCACAAAATCAGCCATTGCTTTATTGTCTTCAAAGTTTCTTCTAAGGAAACACCTTCTTCTCTTTTACACTGTTTGATGATCATCTGAAAGGTATCTCAATTTTAAGACAAGTCTCTATTTTTATTCTTTTGAATTTATAACTAGTTTCATTGAAAATAAATTAAAGAATTCCTAGGAACCACATTTTCCAACATTTTCATTCTGATAACCATCATACATTATTTTCATATTTAAATGGCTGGGTAAGTATATTTCATTTGATCACAGCGAAAGTAATGGCTTTCATGTTTGGGATATGAGAAAATGATTTTGTTAATTTTTAAATTGTGGACCATAGAGGTCTACTAATTTAATGAACTTGTAGAGTTACTATGGAATTTGTCTAATATCAGTTAATTCATTTGGTAGGCTATGTTTGTAAATTGATATGAGCACATGCACAACATGTTCGTATGTCCGAACTTCTTCAAAAATTTTTTATTTTGTTCAAAGCACCGCACAAAAGTATGTTCCCTTTGATATTATTAATATAATCAGATTAATAAACTTGTCCATGTTGAAATGTAATGCTACATATCAACTTTTAGCACAACAATTTCTCTGAAATTTCAATATTGAGTAGAGTGCCTAAATATACAACATTACATATCACATACATTTAGCACATATTACGATTCTTTTCTAAAAAGAAGCACAGTACTACTAAAAAACAATGCAGAATCACCATTATTTTTGTGGACGTGCAACGAGAGAGAAACAAAGAAAGAAAGAAAGAAAAGAGAAAGAAGGAAAGAAAAGAAAAGAAAAGAGAAAGAAAGAAAGAAAGAAAGAAAGAAAAGAAAAGAAAAAGAAAGAAAGAAAAGAAAAGAAAAGAAAAGAGAAAGAAAGAAAGGAAATGAAAAGAGAAAGAAAAGAAAAGAGAAAGAAAGAAAGAAAAGAAAAGAGAAAGAAAGAAAGAAAAGAAAAGAAAAGA